TGGCAAGATGTGAAATATAAGGCCATTTAGCTTACAGGATAATTCACAGAGCTGAATTTCGTTTAATTCTATGGGCCATTAATTTCCCATCTCTACTGACAGTGATAAAGACCAAATGATATATTCCGAGTTTAAAACCAGAGTCAGTCTCTGAATAGTAGAGGAATTTGTCTGAAACTCTTTATAAAATACCTTAATTTAGACCCTAATCTTATTACAATGGTTTTCCATATTAATTTTCATGATATGTCTCATTAGAAAAAGGGTGATCATAGGACTTATCCTTTTAGGAAGTTAAAAAAAAATTTAAACCCTATTTCAAAAAAGAAATTGCTATCTTTATAGCAAGTCTTTAGACTGGAGTGGTAGATGTTCTAAGTTCTATTAAGGAAAGTAGCATAGAATTTAGCTAATAAATCATAAAATATTTGTATATTATGACTTACTGTCAGGAACTTTGTTCTACCTTTTAGATCACTTTTTTATGTGCTTTTAGCTCTTTCACAAAATTCCCTTCCCATAAAACTCAGTCATTAACTATCTGAAGTTTTGTAGTCTGAAAAAAAAAAAAAAAGAGTTCTGATTCTGTTTTTTCTCTAAATAAGATATAACTGAGGTTTATTAAACTTGTCAGTTTAAGAAACTTAAAGGAACTTGCAGACAAATGCTTAACTTGAAAATGTGCCTAAAGACTTTACATGGTATCTTTAAAGATGCACCCAGGAGCTGTCAGGTCTCATGAGGGTGATTTGGCTGCCTAATGCTTTTACATAATAGCACAGTCTTCCTGGCAGCAGCTAGTTGATAGGAGTCTTAAAGATTCTAGCAGCAACTTCCATTTTTAAATATCTGATTAGCTCTTCCTAATGCAGCTTCTTACTAGAGACCCCTGGAGACAGGAAAAAGAGGAAAACTTGCAATACATGTGGAAACTAGTGTCTATAGTTAACTAATTTCTGTAATCTGAAATGAGTTTTTACTTATCATAAGGATAATGGAAATGGATTTAAAAATTGCAATGACTAGCTTATTCTCCTTGTGTGTGCCTGAAATTTTGGGAAAACCTTTTGCTTTTTTACTCATTTTTTAAACATCTGGTACAGAAATGTGAATCTTCTGTTAATGCATCAATTCCACTTACAGAAATTTGCCTCTCACTCATCCGATATAATAAAAGCCTAACGTACAAATTGACCAAACGGCAGAATGACCAGTCGCAGACGCTCTACCAGGGGGCAGACGCTCTACCAGGGGGCAGACGCTCAGCACAGGAGCTGCCCATAGGCCTCAGGCCAGCCAAGACGGGTGCCAGTAGAGGCCCCCTGATTGCCCCGCATTCACCCTGCTGAGGGAGGCAACTGGCAGCGGTGGCAGGGGGCGGGGCCAGCGAGTGGGCAGCGCCAGGCTGGCCAAGGCAGGTGCTGAAGAAAGAAACATAAGGTCTCTGTGATAGATTGTGAAAAGTCACTCCTGTCCTTATATGCATGCCCACAAGTCATCCCCGCTCACACTGACCCTGGGCTTGGCCATGAGATTTGCTTTGGCCAATGGTACAAGAGACTTGATGCAAAGACTTGAAAAGAAAAATGCATATTCGAGCTGCCTTTTCTTTTATTGCTCTTTGGATGCTTACAACCAGTCTCAGATGAACAGACTCAAGCTAGCCTGTTGGATGATGGGAGACGTGGCCTACCACCATGGCCACCACCCAGGCAACTGCTGGATGTTTGAGGGAGGCCATCCTCCACTAGCTGTCCAGTTTCATGACTGATGTCTGGCCCAGACTTGTGCTACATTTAGCTTATAATTGCCTTTGTTTCTCTTAAATATCTTATGTAGCCCTCTCTGATGATGTCTTCTTTCTCTTTTGCATATCAAAATCTATCTTCATGCAGCTTTTCCTTACTACTCAAACCCTCAATAAACCTCTTTTCTATACTCTTCTATTACTTTTACTGGGTGCCGTATAATTTAGTGTTTAATGTGCTTTTTCCCCTCTTTTTCTGTATATATGTTGGTCTTTTCTCTCTACCTAATAATAAGCTCCTTGATTGGATAGATCGTATTTCACATTATTTTCTCGGGCTTTCATAATATTTAGCACTTGATAGAATCATATGTAGTGCCAGGTTTCCTCCTTCCATCCAGTGTCTTCAACATACACCTCGCCTAATTGCAGGGCAGGTGCCACCAATGGCAGCATGACACACCACTGGTGCCAGGAAAAAGCTACACTAACACAAGCTGTATTTGCTTCTTCTCTGCAGCTATCTCATTTCCACGAAATTATGTTTCCTTCACCTAGTCAATTTAAAAAAGCAGGTCTGGGTGTATGTATGTAGTCTCTTATTGCCAGTCCAAGACATGTATGTGTATTATATACAGTGCTGTACATGTGTGTATATTTGTTAACATGAAAAGAATCCTAATGATATAGTAAGTTAACACTGTTTACATTAATACTGTATATGCATAAAATCTGGAAAGAAATACAGCCCTTCCCTCCAAAACAACCAATCTAAACTACTACCTCAAATTCCTTTGAAATTGTATACTGTACCAAGAACATTCAGTTTATCTAGTTATGTGAGATAAGTATTTATTTCATAGTTGAAAAGAGGTTTAAATGAGAGAATATTTTAAGTCTTTTACTACTAAACATTGGTTTTCTCTATTTTAAGTATTTTGGTAGATACTTGGGTTATAGGGATTCATTCTGAAATATAGCCTGCTTCTTTTCTTGATTGAAAATAGTGCCCGTGGTGATCATAGGGGTATTGACTTAGACAAAATGATATTAACACAGAGATAAACAATTGAGCTGGTCAAAAGGAGTAGAGATTCCAAAATAAAAATACTAGTTTATCTGGCAACATCAGTGGAAGGGATTGGTCCTCTCCCTTACTTTCTTTCTCTAAAATCAATAAAAACATACATATTTTTTAAAAATAGAGATATCTTTCACCAAAGTGATAAAAATATGAGACTTCTCATTAAAGTCTCCAAGAAATATTAGACCTTTATGGAAAAAGTTATAACATTTATTTAGGGACAATATTTTTTAACATAAATGGAAAGGGATACTATTTACATGAAAATTTATTTTTATACTGTTAATTTCCAAAATGGATCTTTAGATTAAGTCAGTCATTAAAACTCTACTATTAGGATTTTTGTTTCAGAATTTTGATAAGCTCAATTTAAAATTCATATGCAAGTACCAAGAACCAAGTATAGCCAATTGAAAAAGAAGAAGCATGCCAGACTTATTATAAAGCTGAGTAATTAACAGAATGTTAATGAGGAAATAGAAAAACAGACCAGTGGAATTAAAAAATAAAACAGCTGAAACACAAGCATAAGGAAATACTGGTGATATTAGCCAAAATAATATTTTACAAAAAAATCATTCAGATATAATTTATTTTTTTGTTATGTTGAAGAGTTAAATTTGAAAGCCAACACTTTATATCTTTACAAAGACTGTGTTATTGTATGGATGAAATGCTTCAAAAAGATATTAAAAGCACTAAGCATAAAGACTAAGATTGATATGTTGATAACTACTCACATCAGTCAAAATGAGAAGACAAGTCACGGACTGGGATAAGAAGTATATCACACTGTAATCAATGAATGATTGCTGTTCCTTATAAAACAAATTACTTTGGCAGTAGAGCTCTCACGCGATTTAGTTTCCTTTATTAGGAATACCGTGAGCTTGTCAGAATTCCACAAATCAGCAAAATCCTTAGATTCTTTTCCTTGATCTATTTTGTCCCTCTGAAGGAACATATTTGAGGCCACTCTCCTATGTTTATTCACAGGCTTTCGGTTTTGCCCTGAGGATGTGACACAGTTTTAAACTAGCATTTCTCAAATTGTCTTTTTTATACTCCCGCTTTAGAAACCGTTGTGTATTTCCGGTTCTGGAATGTGTGGCTTTTCACTTTTCCTTTCTATCCGTGTTTGCAGCTGGTTCTTTTCTGAGTTCATCTCTCATATTTTGTAAAGTACAACTAAGAGCATCCAGGGCTAGTAGCACCCCATCTCTTGGCTTTTTCCTATAAATCCACAAGTTCATTTGTCACATTATCTGCTTTCCAAGTTATTGCCAGCAATACAGTTCTGCGCTGTGTTATATGCCATCATTTTTCCAGTCTTCAGTAAAGTTACCTGTTGCTCATTTCCAGTGACAGTCTCATATAGATGATGTGTTTGGTACGGCAGTAGCCCGCTCCTGGTTCCATTTTCTCTATTGACTTTTCCTAAGAAAGCCTGCAGTAACTACTCCAAAATTACATTGCCTTACTGTGCTGGAGGCTTATTTCTAGCTCCCATGTTAGCCACAAGTTATGTGAAATGTGTCTTGCTCTGTGTCCCAGGCAGAGGAACAGCCCTCTTTTGGTCTCAGGTCAGAGGGAAAGGTGAAAATGCTCACCCGTGGAATAGCTCTTAGATCTTCTTCTCGGATATGGTGTAGATAATTTACAATTATATTTCATTGGCCATCCCACGTTACACGGCAGGCCCAGTGTCTGAATCCTAGGGTATTTGTCTCTAAGGGAGGGACAGTAGTTATTGTCCAAAGACGGAGCAATCAGTTCACCTATAGGGAAAGGGCAGACTAGTTGAGAACAATACTACCTGCACTTTCACTTCTACAGTCCCGAAAGCAGTGTTTTCAAAGTGCGGAATTCTTAGGTGGAGACAAACATTTGGAAGTTATCGTTGTATAAGTGAGTAAAATGTGATCACCCGGAGAGGGAGGAGAGCACTGGATCCCTCATGGGGCACTAAGAATTAGCTGTCAGAAGTAGGGGAGAGAACAGGAAAGAACGAGACTCTGGACCTTGGAGCTATTCTCCAAAAATTATAATATTTTTTAAAAAGTAAAGTCTGGATGCAAGTGTTTTTAAATCTATCCAGTTTGTCATCACAAGACTTAGTTTCCACATAGCATGTATTTAACATTAAAATGTGTGTCTTTGTTCTTACAGAGATTTGCCACAATATGGGCAGAAGCAGTGGCAATCCTATTTTGGAAGAACTTTTGATGTTTACACCAAACTCTGGAAGTTCCAGCAGCAGCACCGGTAAAGGAATTTTATAGTTAAAAGAGAGTGAAACTCCATTTTGTATTAATCACAGTTTTGACCTTTACTACCTTTGTGCTTTTTACTTGGATACATCTTAATAAATTTTATCTTCATGACCCAAATGAAAACAAATGGATTTTTAAATGTTTGTTTAAGGTTTTAAAAATGTATGTTCTTAGGATTTTTAAAGAAAATGTTACATGTTAAATGGTTCAGATGAATTCTACCCTAGCATGGCTTAGTTGATTCATGGTTTCAATCTTAAATAGGTATTGTTTATTGGCCAAAACTATTTGAGGGTGTTGCTTCTAATGTTCATGAACAAAGCTCAAAGAAGTTTCTATTGATGTTTCAACGTAAATGGACATCTAATAAATGCTTTTTGAGTGTAATTGAATGATTATGTTTCAATCTCATGAAAAATTCATAAATCTGAATTCATGAATTTAAAATTTCATGCTGGATTGGGTATCATTATATCCTATTAAGTTTATAGATTTGGTTATTTTTGAAATTGATAGTCTCTTATTTCTATTTTCTTATTTCCTATATAAAACAGACAAGTCTTGGATAATCGATATGGCTTGAAGCGGTGGCAAATAGGGGAAATTGCTTCTAAGATTGGGCAGCTATACTACCATTATTAGTAAGTGAATTGCATATGGGAAAATCAAGCATTGACCTGATTTAAACACAGCATGTGGAAGTATGCATGGTATATTATGTGGTTGGAGGGAAAACTAAGGAGTTACAAATGAAAACCTTAGTAATCCAGATCGTATGGGTGAAGACTGCATTATGAAATGACCTTCCACTATCAAAGTAACATTATTTGCTTCCATGGCTCACCTTCCAAACAGTTCATTTGGTCAGACTCATCTATAACTTAAAAGAGCAAGATCTTGGTTTTAAGTATATGAATTTATAGTTTGTAATTGATACTGTGCAGAGATATATCATAATTTTTAGGTTTGAATACGTAGTTTTCAGGAGGACATTTTAAGATTCATACCTATAGGATATGTCTAAAAAGTTACATAAAGTAGATAATGATACTTCTGATTATATTCTTAGAGCAGCATCTACAGGTGCTGGCAAAAGTAGGTCTACAGTTGTTCTTATTGAAAATAATGCAATAATTAATAATTGCCAGAATAAAATCTGTGTTTCGTGTACTCACAACTCCAAACCTACTACCTATATGTAGTCCCACCCATGAGTCAGGGACAGAAGAGATTTCATCCTTTTAGAATGAAATCTTATTATCATGAAGTAATATTGGTGTGCCATAAAAAGACTTGGACCATTTGTAACTTTCTAGACCAGAAAAATTCCTTCTTCCTGTCTTTTGGTATGGCACCCATAATTCCCACCATTAAAATCACTCTCTTGGGTAGAGTATTTTCTTAAGAAGCCACTTGAAAAACTAGACATGTGGTGTGTTTTGTAAATTTTAATTAATTTAAAAATTTTCCAATTACAATTTTCCTTCAGTATTGTATTGGTTTTAGGTATACAGCATAGTGGTTAGACAATTGTATACCTTACAAAGTGTCCCCCTGATATTTCCAGTACCCACTTGGCGCCATACATAGTTCCTGCAATATTATTGGCTATATTCTCTATGCTGTACTTTACATCCCCGTGATTCTTTTGTAATTACTAGTCCCTTCATCTCTTTCACCCAGTTATCTAAACAGAGAGCCTAATTCATCAGCATCTTTTGAAGATTAATATGGATTAATCCATTTTTGAAATCCGTGAGAAAAAAAATAAAAGATATTAGTCAAAGGATAAGTGATTATGTATGGATTTGAGGAAGGTCATGAAAGGCCTGGTCCTGGTCCTGCGTGGAAATGCTGTTTGGAGAGTCACTGAGGAGAGTGAGGATAATGTGTGCTTTGGGTTGCCATCCGAAAGGATTGGGAGCAGTGGGGAGGTTTTGTTTTTTTAAATTATTGTTATTATTATTTTTACACATTTTAAGGGTGATATGTGTATTGCTTTGCTGATTCAAATTTAGGACAGTCATTCCCATCCCTCATGTACAGGAATGAAGGAATAATGGGACAAGTATTGATCCTAACGAAGAATTTGAGACATTGTCAAATTTAAAGATTTTTTTCTCTCATAGCTTACGCACATCTGAGACCAGCTATCTGAATGAGGCTTTCTCCTTCTATTCTGCAATCAGACAGAGATCTTACTATTCTCAAGTCAATAAAGAAGACAGGTATGCACCTACTATAGTTTTAGAGACAGGAGGTCAAACACTTAATTTTTAGTTTGTGGGCAAATTATGAGGAAACGCACACATTTGTTTATAACTTCTATTCATTTCATATGTTTTATTGAATGCCTACTATGTACTAGGCCTTCTTAAGCATGCAAAGATATGTTACCTAATATAAATAAATATTACAGATGTAACAGATATCACAATACCAGTGGAGTCGGAGCACAAAGGAGGGGTGGATTACTTCTTTATGAGAGACTGGGATCACACAAAGTTTCATTGAAAAGAAACAGCTCCAGAGTGAGGCTTAGCTGATAATGTCAGGTCTCTTTAATTCCTATACATTCAGAAGCCTGTTGACGGTTGTCATGTAAGACTAACGAAAAGGCGCTAAGCTGTTTGAATTTTATTTTATAAACCCACTACTGCCATGCAGCTGTTGGAAGGAAAAACCCTGGTGCAATTCATTAAATTCCCAACAGTAATCTATTGAGCACTCACCCTGCTGGCAGTGTGGCCGGTGCTTGGAGGGAAAACAAAGGAAGAAGATATACAGATGTGCTCTTTCCCTTTCAGACAATTACCTTCTCGAGGGAGTTATAGACATCTTTGGGTCCCAAGTAGATGATGATGCTATTAATTCCAGAGGAGTGTGGAATTGTGGGAGAAACCAGGGACCTGGCGCAGAATCTTTATTGCTAGTGTTTCATGAATTGTTAGAAGAGAAAGTTCAGGTCTAGGAGATGGGAATGTTCTCTCTACCTCCAGCAACAGAACTCACAGCTGTTATAAGTGAAAAGATGATATTCTCTTAATGCTAGAAGAAAACATGGTTTTGCCCTAGCTGGTTTGGCTCAGTGGATAGAACACTGGCCTGCGGACTGAAGGGTCAGGTTCGATTCTGGCCAAGGGCACATGCCCAGGTTGCGGACTCGATCCCCAGTGTGGGGCATGCAGGAGGCAGCCAATCAACGATTCTCTCTCATCTTTGGTGTTTCTAGCTCTCCTACTCCCTTCCACTCTGAAATCAATAAAAATATATTTTAAAAGAAAAGAAAAAGAAAACATAGTTTTGACATGGCTTTCTAGAGAACACTCTGTGCTTGGCTGTTATGAGCTTGCCAGCTCTACAGCGACATTTTTTGGAAAGCCCCACTCTTGTACATCCCCTTCCTGCCCTTACAAGTCCTGTTCGGACTCGCCCGGAGGAGGTGATGTGACACAATGAGGTATGCAGATGCTGAGGTCTCTGTGTTATTGCCTTACTTCACTCTTCTATCAGAAGTTCCAACAGTTATTTTTCCTTCAGATTTGCTTTACATATATTCACTATAGATATATTTCCTACATCCCTCGCCCCCTTTTTGCATTTATGTTGTACAATTTGTCTGAATTCTTGGTGAGATAAATTGTATCTCTAAGAACATGCAAAAGGGCTACGTAATATTTTTACCAGCAAAGAGCTATTTTAAGCAATAGTAAGATACCTTGTATAATTCACTTTTCTAATTTGCCAAGAGGAAAATTGGCCTTAGGCCCACTGGCTTAAAACTCAACAGTTTGATTTGTGGAAATCCTTTTCCATCCTGAGAGCGGACACCACACATCCATTGTTTTCCTGTGCTGCCTCCTAGAGCAGGGCCGATGAACGGAGGTAGGATTATTTGGAACCAGGATGACACTGAATTAGAATCAGCGGACGACCCCAAATCTTGACCTTGTTTTCTGGAAGGTCTGTTTAGATGGTACGTTGTTTGTTTCTTAGTTCACATAGGGCAGGAGTGCCAGTCAAGGTAACAATTGATGACAACTCCTAAAATCCACAGCCAGTAGATTAAAACAAGGAAGAATTCCACAATATCACAGTTGCTTTATAAGGCAAAGATCTCTTCTCAAAGGGGCAAGTTCTCTCTGCACTCTCTCAGTGCCTCAGCATTCTGTCAGAGCCGGGGGGAATGGACATTCTAGCCATCCACCTACGTGACTGCTGTCACTTTATTTTTTTATTTTTTAAAATATATTTTATTGATTTTGTACAGAGAGGAAGGGAGAGAGATAGAGAGCTAGAAACGTCGATGAGAGAGAGTCATCGATCAGCTGCCTCTTGCACATCCCCTACTGGGGATGTGCCTGCAACCAAGGTACATGCCCTTGACCGGAATCGAACCCGGGACCCTTCAGTCCCCAAGCCAACGCTCTATCCATTGAGCCAAACCGGTCTCGGCAGGCTGCTGTCACTTTAGACAACGCTCAGCAATGTCTCATTCCACGGGCCCACCCTGTTGAGTAAAGGGAGATGTTATCCCGTAATCACTTGTCCTAAGAGCTGCAAAACCCCAGCTGTTGCAAATGGTTCAGGCTGACCGTGGTCAGAGTTAGATATGGAGAAGATAAAGCACACATAGGTCCTTTATTTCATTTAGCCACCAGGAAAAACAGTTTCTCTGGCAATGCGCAGAGTCCTGTCAATTAGTAAACACATTTCTAAGTAAGTCATGGGTCTAAAAGGAAATTTTTAAGTTCTGTTATGGAAAATGTCAAACATATATGAAAAATATACTGTTATTTTTTATTTATAATGTAGGATGTAGAAAGCAGGAAGCGGACATTGGGAATGTCAGGTTTCACTTGAATAGGGATAAGTGTAAAGAGGTGCAGCATTGACTGTAAAAGCCTTTGGTAAGTGGAGGATGCATATTGCTCCTCCTAGCAGCACTAAAAGAACAGTAATGCAGAGGTATGAGTAAGAAGCCATTAGCGGCTAACACACTAAAATATATCAGATTACCTGGAAAGCAAGCAAGAGAGGAGCAATAAGGGACACAAACATGGAAGGGACAAACCGAAAACAAATAAAGCAAGGTGGAGACGCAAACCCAGAGGACCCACGTGTACGAGGCAGAGATTGTCACAGTGGATGAGGAAGCAGGACCTAACCAAACACTGTCTACAGAAGAGGAGGTGAAATAAAAGGACAGAGGCACTTGAAAGCAGAGGAAAAGGAACAGAGATGGCCTGTAAGCACTAAGCACAAGAAAACTGGCTTGGTGATATTAATACATAAAAGATAAGATTTCAAAACAAAGACTGTTCTTCCTGAAATGCTTTCCGCCTCGTGGTTTTCTGCCTCTTATCTTCTCCTCTTCCGTATATTATATATAACCTTAACTCAAACATTACTGTCTTTGGGAAGTTTACTCTCACCCTGGATCCTGTCCTGTGGGCTCAAATAACACCCTTTGTTTCTCCTGGCATTATATTTATTCCACTGTGTTTTAAGTATTTATCTGTCTCCTCTATATTTTAAGTATTTTTCTGTCTGTAAGAGCTGAGAAGGGACTGTGTAGCTCTCTGTGTGTGTTTTCACTCTGCTTCCAGCACTTAGTTCTCTGTGTGTGTTTCACTCTCCTTCCAGCATCTAAGTTCTCAATAGGTATTTGTTGAATGAATGAACTATGTAATGAATCAGTAAGAAATGTGTTAAGGCTGTAGGTTATATGCAGAAATATTTATAACCGCAGAATATTTTATTTTTTAACATAATGACTAATTTTCCATTTATCTACCCTAGACCTGAGTTGGTAGTTAAGAAGCTGCGATACTATGCAAGATTTATAGTAGTTTGTCTTCTTCTCAACAAAATGGATGTGGTAAAGGATCTGGTGAAGGTAAATGTGCTTTACAATATTTGAATAACTGATAGTGTATGGGTAATTTTGTTTTTAAAAAAATAGATTTGAGGTTAAATGATTTTTGGTATGTCTAAATCATTACAGCATTAAAAGTGTGGTAACTTCTGCCAAAGGCAATGATAAATTTTTTTTTTCAATTCTCTTCGTATTTCCAACCCAGACTGACCAGAGACCATTATCTCAACTCCTTGCTTTTGTCCCTTCAGCACGTTTTACATTTCACCACCTATCCGTGGATGGTTGGGAAATGCAAACAAAAGTTAAAATATTTTGTTTAAAAGAAGATAGTTAAAAAGTTAGGTCAAGAAAAAGCACACAATGTTAGACAAAGGTATTGAGAAAGCGTTTGTTTTTTCCCCATTCGCTTAGTATGTCTGCATCACTGTCCTCCAGAAACTCAGGCTTTCGAGATTCACTTACTCTCTGTAATGATTGCATACATTCCGGCTGCACTCTGTATTCATTCAGGGAGAGGTTTCAGCGGCATGCTTCTTAATTTTTGGTACTCAAGTATAACATGCTGGTTTTGACAAGCATTCCTCTGTCTTCCTCCACTCCTAGTTACTATTGACTATTTCCAGATAAAACCACTGTGCTATACTAGTAAATACAAAGAAAATCAGCTAGACAGTATTACTTTTTTTAATATTAAAAATTGGGGGCTTTACCTTTAAGAGTTTCCTATTAATAAATTCATTGCTTGCCTGGCTGGTGTGGGTCAGTGGTTGAACATTGACCCATGAACCAGGAATTCACAAGTTAAGGCACGTGCCTGGGTTGTGGGTTCAATCCCCAGTGAGGGGCATACAGGAGGCAGCCGATCAATGATTCTCATCATTGATGTTTCTGTCTTTCCCTCTCCCTTCCTCTTTGAAATAAAAACATTAAAAATAAATTTAAAGCCGAAACCGATGTTTCTGGCTCTCTGTCCCTCTCTCTTCCTCTCTGTAAAAAATGAATAAAATATCTATTTAAAAAATAAAATAAAATAAATTTAAAAATAAAATCATACCTTTCCAGTATGGGTCTCTTAAAATCTTACTGATGTGTGTCATTCTGGAGCTTTTGATTTTGAGACAAATCCATGTAGTTTTTATTCTTGGTGTTTTTTTTTTTTATTATAATTGAGACTGCATATTGATAATAAACTTCTTAACTATGTCAATTTCTCTCAGGAATATGGTACCTCATAGCTGTCTTTCTCTCTCTCTTTTTTTTTTATGTGTTAAAATCAGGAATTGTCCGATGAAATTGAAGATTACACTCACCGCTTTAATACTGAAGATCAAGTGGAGTGGAACCTGGTGCTTCAGGAAGTGGCAGCTTTTATCGAGGTCAGTTTTGGACACGAAAGGCTATCATAGTTTTGGAGAAGTAAATTCCTATGTGGTATACACTTTTACTGCGTGTGTATGTCCAGAAGGAATAACTTACTAGACTGACATTTTGTCTGGGCTCTTCTCTCCAGGCAGACCCCGTGATGATACTGAATGACGATGATACCATTGTTTCCACATCGAACCGCCTTGCTGACACAGGAGCCCCCCTGCTGGAACAGGGCATGATTGTGGGGCAGCTGTCCCTGGCTGACGCACTCCTTATTGGTAATTGTAGTAACCAGGTAAAGAATTTGCAGGAAGTATGCCGAAAATCCACTTAGAAAAATATAATAGTGCTTTTTATTATTACAGGATTATTCCTTGTAAATATCCTAACACCCATTTGAGAGGAAATGGTTAAAAAAATTATGCCGTGTCCATTTATGGACTATGTTACAGACATTTAAATGGTTTAGAGAGGATTTTTAATCACAAAGGAAGATACTCATGATATGATAAGGAAAAGAAATTTGTTATGGAGCCAGTATGTGAACAGAATTACCCCGTGTATGAAAACATCTATATACATATATGCATAGGGAAAAGACCAAGAAGAAATTCACCAATATCATAAAAGGTTTACTTCTGAATAGCAGCATGATGGGTGATTTTTATTTTCTTTTTCACAACTTTCCAAATCTGTAAATACTGTGATCAGGCAAAAAGAGAGAGGTTTGTGTTTTTTAAAAAAATATGCTTTTGTTGATTTTTAGATGGAGAGAAAGAGAGAAGAGGAGAGAGATAGAACCATCAATGAGAAAAACACATCGATTGGTTGCCTCCTGCACACCCCACACTGGGGATTGAGCCCACAGCCTGGGCACGTGTCCTGATCAGGAATCAAACCTGGGACCTTGTGGACCATGGGACGATGCTCAATCCACTGAGCCACACCAGCTGGGCAGAGGAGGGGTTATTTTTAAGTGCAATGTCAAAAGCAAATTTTAAATATTTTTTCATGACAGAATAGTTGCATAGTTAATTTAATGTACTGGAAATGTAATTTACTGGATATATGGAATATTGGAAAAGTCACTAGTGAGAATATTTTCCTATATGCATCAGTTATACGTTTTAATTTTGGATACTTCTTTACACCTATCATTTTTGTTCTTGTTAACTTTTTCTGGTACTCTTCCAACTTTGGTTTTTATAGCCATTAATTAACAGATTTCTAAATTAGAACGTTTTCATTTAAATACAGTATTGTCTTTTCAAAGTAGAAAAAGTATGCAGTCTTAAACATTATAAAGTACCAAAATGTAATGAAGAGGTTATAAAATATGCCATATTTCAGCCTCCCTGTTTTGCCAAAAATTAGCATGTTTTATAGGATCTAAAATAGGTCTCTGTTTACATGACTACTTTTATTTGTTTTCTAAAAATACCTGAGGAAATGGATGGATTGATAGGCATATAGATAGACGGAGATACATATGATAAAGCAAAAATAGAAAAATGTTAATGTTGTAGGATCTAGTTGATAAGCATATTGGTGTCACTGTATAATTCTTTTAGTTTTCTATGTTTTGAAATTTTTGATAATAAAATCCTGGGAAAGAAAATACCCAATGTCATTAAGTGTACATGACTGTCAAGATTAATAATATGACTAAAGACTTCAAGGTCTGCTTTCTGCATCAGTGGTCAGGTTTGTTTTCCTTGCAGGTTAAATTCAGTGAACTAACAGTTGACATGTTCCGGATGTTACAAGCCCTGGAAAGGGAGCCAATGAATTTAGCTTCCCAGATGAATAAGCCAGGAATGCAGGTACCTTCTCCCTACTTATGCCATTTTGATAACACTCTTACTGCTTCTGCTCCGCATGGAATGCTATTATCCAACAAGGCTTTGAGTGTGAATAAAGAGCTCCCTTGCCGGGTAGCTTAGTTGATTGAAATGTTGTCCTGATGCACCAGAGTTACAGCCTTGATCCCAGTCAGAGCTCATGCAAGAGCCAACCAATGGATAGGTGAAGCAATGGGTCAATGCTTCTCTCTCTTAAAGCATTCAGTCGATAAATTTTTAGAAAGAGCTCTCTTGTCAGCACATACCAAGCTGGTGGAAGGGCAATGCTGGCAGGAGCAGAGCCCAGGCAGCCCTCCAGTGCTGGCTCTGCTCCTGTCTGAGATGACTTTCCAAGTTGGCTCTTCTGGCACCACCAAGTTCTTTCCCTGTCTCCTCTTTTTAGCTTTTGACTACCCCCCAAACCCCACTCCTGGAGCTCAGAGAACCTTGACCTCACCTAAGAGGTGCCTGATGGATTCACGAAATACTTCCTAAGTTCTATTGCCGCCTTTGGTAGAAAGATAATATGCACAGAATACATAGGAAAAGATGTACTAGCTAATATGAAATATTATGGAACCAGAGGATGCTTGCAACTTGCATAAAGAGCCGGCTTTACTTCAATGTCCCATGAGTAAAGGTCCCTGGGTCTCATATATGACTGTGTGGGTTTATGGAGGTAGATGTTGCTTTGTATTTTCCAGATATATTGGGGGGGAAGGACTCTCTTGATGAAGAATAGGAAATATAGATAAGCATAATAATAGTAACAAAAATATAGTTGATGAAGAGGATAGTAAAAAAAAAAAAAAGCATTGATAATACATCTGTCAAAAACAGCTTGTATGGCTATTATTTTCTGTGTGAAAATACAGGATTCAGCTGACAAGCCTACCAGGCGAGAAAATCCCCACAAGTACCTGCTCTACAAACCCACCTTCAGCCAACTGTACACATTCTTAGCATCATCTTTTAAGGTATATTTGACCCAGTATTTTTACTGTATGGGAAAAGTGCGCTCTAAATGGAATCTGAGAGTCACTCTGCTCTTTGAATATCTGAGTCAAGAATTTAAGCAAAGTATGAAATTGAAACTGCCTTTACAGTATCCTAATCATAGTTATTTTCAGGATGGAAATTGCTTATAGGCTCTGAATGCTTATTGCCATTCATTAATGAGACTATTGCTTAATTACTTTCCTTTCTCCAGATTTCTATTACCCTGTTTCCCCGAAAATAAGACAGTGTCTTATATTAATTTTTTTCTCCCAAAGTTGCGCTAGGTCTTATTTTCAGGGGATGTCTTATCTTTCCATGTGCTAGGTCTTATTTTCTGAGGATGTGTTATTTTCGGGGAAACACGGTGCTAAACTACTGTAGGCATAGGAGTCAGTGCAGAACTTAAAAATCCAGAGCAGGTTGCACAGACCTGCTCAGAGGAATATTTTGGTCATTGAAAGAGCTCTGAGAAGTGGGGAATCCCTCCCAAAGTTTAATAATGAAAGCCATAGATGGGAGTTTGTCTGTTAGACCTAGAGTCAGGATATTTACTTCTCCATTTCAAGTTTTCCAGAGGACATTTTCTTAATGATGGGCGTTTTACAGCAGAGATTGTCTTACAAACGTTTGGCAGTCATTGTAGATCGTAACGACTCTTGTAGATTATGACTCTTGGCCATGTAGACAGCAGTTGGAACCAGCAAGAGTGGCTCTGCTCTTGGAGCAGACAGTAATATGTCAGATTAGGTGCTTGTTTTCCCCACACCTTTAAAGTGTCGTGAGCTTTAAATGAAACTGTTGTTTTCCCTGTTTGTTGTTTTGTATATGTGATTTTTTAAATTTCAGGAGCTGCCTGCCAATAGCGTGCTTCTGATTTACCTGTCAGCCACTGGCGTTTTCCCAACAGGTCGTTCTGATAGTGAAGGTACAATAAAGGAATGCTCCTGTGTGAGCCGGGCTTGAATTCTCTTTATTTTCTACAAGACGATGGCCCGTAGCCCACAGACCACCTCCAGCTTTCCAGAGAGGCTTCTAAATTGGAAACCCGGTCTATTTGTTGAATTGGCAATCTCATAGATACCCCAGTCTATTGTACATTGAAGTCCACAAATGATCAGCAAATTCACATACTAAATATGTGTGCCTCACTATCAGATTTGCCAGAAGCACACATCCCTATGAAATAACTAAGCCTGATGATCTGCTTCACATCATTAAAATTTTCTGAGCCTTCAGTGCTTTAGGGAATCTGGTCAGCGGCTTCGTGTGGCTGAATGTCTTTGTAGAAATCAGTACACTTTTGTAACTGCGAAAGTTCAAGTCCTTGTCATGATTTTGTTTTCTGTCCTTTCTTTATTTGGTTTTTATGGATTCAACCTATAGACTATTGGGATGCTGTTTCAGAATAAAAAACTTAAAACTGTCCAGAATAAATGAGTCCAGAATATATGAAATTGGTCAGAATAGGTGAGTAACTGGGTTGTAAATGAGGCATTTAAATCTCTGTCTGGACAAAAAAAAAAAAATTTTTTTCCTTAACATCCTTAACATTTTCCTCCTCATGTTTGTTGAAATTTGCATTCCTTTATACAATGCATGTCCCTGCCATCTTCCTTGCATGACCAACAGATCCTCTTACTGTGGGAAAATGAAAACAGAACAAAATGAACCTCAAAGCCTTTTTGTTGCAGTGCTTTTTTTAAAGGGATAAAATATAACAGCATTAAATGTGGTATGAAGTCATAAACTAGTTTTTTGTAGTAAAGTTTATTTATAAATAATTATTTCATTTATCTACTGTTGAGTCAGATTTTCTGAGCCCCTGATTAATATATTGACCTCATTTTACTTTTTTTTCAAGGTATATTAGGATTGCAGTAGGCACTAACTGAATAATCCCTTTGAGATAAATTATTCCTAACACCCCTTCGTTGCTGTGCCATTTAGGCAGGAGTTTAACTAACTGATATAACCAGTGGGCAAAGGCTAACTTCAAAACTGGAACTACAGTGGTTGGTATAGTAGTGATCATAGATTTTTTCACACACTGAAATTTATTATTTTCTTAAAATTTTTTTTCAATGAGAATTTTCAAGTTTTATTTCAATTTTCCCCCTAAATTTTACAATAAATGGCTTACACTTATATTTAAGAAATTATTAAGACTTCAGTCTGAAATTTCTCACATAAATAGTTTTGTTAAACCTGAGGTTTTAATTTTTGCTTGAAATTAAAATTTTGAGCATCCCAGATCTGCATCACTTTTATTGCCCAGAGTAATGGGGTGCCTTGGATTCTTGTTTTGTTTCTCATTATATTCTGTTTGAAGAACTGATGAGTAATTAAATGATTTTTTAAAATGTTGACCTAGGCAACATGCTGAAATCATTTAAATACTGTATTAAAGAAGAATGTTAAATTTTAAAATAATTAAAATGTTTTGTAATTATCTTCCACTTTTATCAGGGAGAGATTCACATAATACCTTTGAACATCAGAATCATGTTACTCTCTGATTGAAGTCTAGGATTCTTCCCTTTGTTTTCATAGGTCCTTATGATTTTGGAGGGGTACTTACTAATAGTAATCGGGATATTATAAACGGAGATGCCATCCACAAACGCAATCAATCCCACAAAGAAATGCACTGGTATGTATTCTAGTGTCTCCCTATCATAAAAATTATAGTTCTCTCTTATGAAATATTAAGTGAAATGGGGACTTTTCTAGCACTAGAAATGTTCTCCTAGGCTACTATTAATAACACTTATTTGAATTCTAGCAATACTTCCATCTTGACTATCCTAGGAAATTAGAATTTTTGGGCTGATACACACACACACAGACACACACACACACTAGAGGCCAATTGCACAAGGAGATTCCTTCCCCGGGACCCAGGCCTTCCTTTTGGCTGCTGCCTTCAGTCTTTGCTCTGGGCAGAGGTCGCTCCTGTAGCTCCCTCTGCCCGACCCTCCCCCTCATAGCAGGTGTCTTCTCTGCCCCTCCCTCTCATAGCAGGTGTCTTCTCTGCTGAGCCACTCCGCATATGTGCTGCCCAGAGTGGCTGTGGGGTGGTGCCACTACCATATTTGTTGGGTTAATTTGCATACTCACTCCTGATTGGCTGGTGGGTGTAGTGAAGTGACCACCAATTTGCATGTTTCTCTTTTATTAGTGTAGATATTGAGTATCAGTTATATTTCAGGTACTGTTCACACACACACACACACACACACACACACACACACACACACACACATTGTCCACTAAGCTAGAAAGAGCATGGATTGATAGCCACACCAAAATTGTGACCTTCTTAGTCAGTGGCTCTCAAATATTAGTTGCTGGACTTTTAACCTTAGGGTCCAGTAGATCTTTTATGGGCCAGTGAATATAGGTGTTTAAGAATCAAGCAGCTGGTTCTGATACAATATCCAGAGAAAACATAAAGAATACCGTGTTTCCCCAAAAATAAGACATCCTCCGAAAATAAGACCTAGCACATGGAAAGATAAGACATCCCCTGAAAATAAGACCTAGTGCAACTTTGGGAGAAAAAATTAATATAAGACACTGTCTTATTTTCGGGAAAACAGGGTAGTAAAGGGAAGCCCCTATTATTTTCTGAAATATTAAGATATAGCTTGAAATACTAGAACTCTTTAAACTAGGTATAGATTTAAAAGACTCATTGAAATACAAATCTGGTTGTGTTTTATATGTTTGTTTTCAAAATATGTTTTTAAAGGGGCTTTTAAATACTAAAGTACCTAAAAGCTGACTTCTGAGATTTTCACTTTGTATGTTTAATCCATCTTTAAATATATAGACTTCTTTTTAGCTTATTCTTGTGAAATAATTATCTCTGAATTTTTTTTCCAAATGAAACTTAATACAGAGATTTTTTTTTGTCTTTTGCTTAATCTTTGTTTTTCTCTCTTACTACGATGAAAGGAGACACGAGCAGACCAAGCTGAAGAAGAAAAATTCTAAGGCTTGGCAGTATGGTTACTCAGATATTTATCATTATTATTGTTTTCCCAGCCTCCATCCTGGAGATCTCTACCCCTTCACGAGGAAGCCCCTGTTTATCATCGTGGATTCATCGAATAGTGTCGCATACAAGGTGAGTTCCGTGAGCGCCAGGGCACGTGTTAGCCACTATGGCACCACCCCGAGGTAACCAGTCTTAACATGTGCCTTTTCATTTTGCTTTATTTTATTTCATTTTACACTGTTTGTATTTAGTCTTTCTTTTCTTTTGAGGTTGTGCATGCTAGTCAGGATCTGGTGCTATGAATAGAAACAAGAAGAAAACGCATGAATGGACACTCAGTGGAAAATAATAAATCCTCCTGCAGGAAAAAAAAATTCAAGATTCCCAAGATGTCTGGTGGAAGGTTTACTTTTGTTGTATAACCCAGAATAACTTTCTTTTATAAAAGTAGAAGTACGTGGGCACATTTTATTTTCTAGTTTTGAGACCTTTTCCCCATCTACACACTTGAGCTGCAATGGTTTAGGTGCCATGTTTTACAGTTACAGCCATTGAATATCAAAATAAATGGTTTTATATGCACTTATTTAAAAAAAAAATTGTGAAAACAAGTAAAATGCTAAAGTAAGTGACAAGGATATAACTTGAAAATCCTTTGTTTTATATTTTGTTATGGAAGCAATGTTTTGCAGTGATTATATAAAGAATGTCAGCAGCAAAACACTTTAAAGTAGGATAGTAGATTTCAAACTATAGTAGTTTATAGGAAAATGAAAACAGAATTTTTGGAGTCCTTTGTATGTGGTTGGAATATTTCATTAGTAAACAATATGTTTGGAAATATACTTGGATTTGCACATTAAAACTATTTCTGTTGTGGATGCTTAGATAATTAGATGGAGAAGCAAGCATTGGTAGGTTTTTTCCAGGAGAGCAGTGGGAGTGTCTGGTAGCCAAGGGAGCTGACTGCAAGCATATATTTTTCTAATTTTTACTTTTAGTATCATTTTTTAAAAGTCTGAATGCCAAGAGCATCCAACCTACCCTACACTTTTCAGTATATTGCCTGAAAAGTCAAGTTTACAGCTTTGATTTTGGGGAAAACTGGCACTTTTCTTACATCGGATGTATGTTGTTTTTAATCTTTTTAAAAGGGGTGATAGGTTCTGAAGGAAAGGTTTATTAGCTATCCCACTTAAACTTGTAAAACGAGGGGAGACCAGGCATTGGTGTCTTCACAGAATTCCCAAGAAGCGTCTGTGTCTTTGTCAAAGGAGTTGTTCGCTACAGTTCAAAGATGTGGCAGGATGTGTCGATGCACCAGGTCAAATGTATTGTGTACATACTCCAGCGTGCATTGAGAGTGTTTTAGCAACCAAGTAATTTCTCTGAACTTAACTGGACATTATTTGATAGCACCTTTTATAATGTCAAAATATCTTTCATGATACATGCCAGCTATTTCGAGAGTGCACAGGATGATGCTCCAACCAGCTGAGCCACACCAGTCAGGGCTCTCAGTGACCATTTGAAACGTTCTCCTTGCTGTCTGCTTCCTCAAGGCTGATGTGTTTCTGTTTGGTTTGCCTGCATATGTCATATCAGAGACTTTTCTCAGAGTACTGTAAGTTTTGCCTATCTGCTCAGATTTAAGAGTGGGAGCTAGGAAAATAGACTATCAGGTAGTAGACAGGGCTTGTCACGCTGAGCTGCTCCTGTGACAGTCTAGTAGGACTAGTCAGTTGGCTGTCTCTGATGTGTCTTTAGGTCTGTCTTCATGCTCTCGTTATATTACCCAGAGCAGACTCAGCTACTCTGCCTGGAATGTAAAGGTTGAATTATCAGCATTAGACTATATTTTCCCTCAAGCCTCTGTGCATGTGTTTATCTTTGTATACACATGTGCCTTTATGTCCCCAGGCCTCAGACCTAAAAGGTTCTTAGTAAATATATGTTGAATGCTTAAGTGAAGATAGGTACTATTATCCTTATCGCTGAGGAAATTTTGCCTGTGGAGATTGACCTGCCTAACCGATCCCGGCAGATTTTGTCATTCCAAAACCCCAGCTCTTCCCACTTTGGAAAAGAGGAGCTTTGCGTGCTCGTCTGAGCCTCATTGACCAGGAGAGTGATTGAAATGCCACGATCTGTGTAACATCTGGCCCACGTTGTGGTTCTCAGATTTCTACTAGAGAACTGGCAAGTAGAAGTGACCTTGTCTGTACTAAGGTAGTACTATGGGAGTGAAAACAATCCCATGGTCATTCTGAATACTTCTTTTAGTACTGCCTTCTTTCTTTTTCTTTCTTTCTTTTTTTTTTTTTAAAGAACAACCTTTGAGTGTTTTAGTAATTATGACAAGGCTGGATCCCTGCCACTGCACATGAATTACTCATTTGTCAGACAGTCATATTTATCTAAACAGCCTTATCCTCGTTGACTGATAGCTACAGGTTGCTGCAGTCTATTAAGGCAATCACTCTCCCAGCGAGATGATGAAAGCTCGTCTGCCAGTCAGCCCCACACATTCTGTTTCTTTCTTGCTCCTTTGAAAGTTTTGGCATTCTGTAGTTGCATTGTGAGGTCTAGGTTTTGTTTCTTTAGACATAATTTATTATGACTTGTTAGACTTCCTGAATGGGAAGGTTGGGGTTTTACATAAATGCTGGAAAATTCTCATTGTCTTCTCAAACACTGGCTGTACCCTAGCTTCTCATCTCCTTCTGGAACTTTGAAAAAAAAAAATATATATATATATACACACACACACACATACACACATATTTCTTGCTGTCTTCTATATCTTTTGACTTCTATATTTTCCAATTTTTTTTCCTCTCTATTTGAGAATTGGATAATTTCTTCTGAACTATCTTTCAATTTACAAATTCTTCAGCTTTGATTAACTTGCGGCTAAACCCATTTGAGTTAGATGTTGATTGTGGTTATTTTCATTGCTCAAGTTCTCTGGTTCTTGGCTCATGGGTCTAAGCATATAGTCATACTCAAAACAGTGTATGTAGTACAGTAAAAGGATACAGAGCAAAATTAGCAAAAGAAAAAGGTACATAGGATGAAGTCCAGACAAAATAGGCTCAGATTTCCAAGAGTTTTCTCCCAGTGCAGACACACAGGGTGTCCCTACTCCCCTGGCAGCCGGCTGAGGCAACACGGCTAAAGGTCTACCGGGGCAGCTCAGGAAGGACTTGCTGCCCAGGCTGTTCACTGGGGACTGATCGTGTAGGCACCCTGTGCCTGGCACACACCAAATGCCAGGCTCCCAGAAAGAAAGCAGGTGCTCAGCATAAACCATCTTGTTTGCACAGTCCGGGTAAAGCGAGCCATTCTTATCGGTTCTGCTCACAGTGGGAACCCACCAAATCTAAGCTCCCGGAAGCCAGCCAAGGGCCAACGCTTGTAAGCAGGCCCTTTCAAAGGACGGCAGTCAGGTTTGCTATGCTAACCCTAACTCTTCTTTACACAGTATTTAAAAAATCAGATGAGAAGTTGATGAGCAAGGGAAGCAAAGAAAAAGGAAGGCGTGGGACATAAGTAGCGGCAGTGTTCCTCTGGGCACTGTCCAGGAGCAAGAGCCTCATGGCCAAGGACGCAGAGGCCATCTGAGTGTGGGAGAGTGCCCACGCCGCCTTCTCTGAAGGGTGCGCCTCAATATCATTCAACTTACTCCCTTTCTTTTGGTTATAAGACATTTCTCATTTATTTTAACTATTTGTTTAGGGTTTTTTTGTGTGTGTTGATATTATGTTTACAAAGTCATAAGATAAAGGCCTTAGTGAAATCTCTTCATCCCTCCCAGACCCAGTCCACTCAGTTTCTAGCTCTCCCTGTAAGTGATCACTGTTGTCTGTTTCTTATTTAACCTTCTAGAAAAAATTTTTAAATACGTATGTAAGCCAAAACACATATACTAGTAAGTCTTAAGTCTTCTTCGCTATATACTAGTAAATGGTAGTAACATGCCGTACACAGCTGCTCTTACTTTTTTTTCACTACTAAGAAATGTTGGAGATCTATCCATGTCCATTCATAAAGAACTCATTCTTCATACACACACACACACACACACACACACGTATATATATATATATGTGTGTGTGTGTGTCTGTATATATATATATATATATATATATATATATATATATATTCTATTGATTCTCTACAGAGAGGAAGGGAGAGGGACAGAGAGTCAGAAACATTGATGAGAGAGAAACATCAATCAGCTGCCTCCTGCACACTCCCCACTGGGGATGTGCCCGCAACCAAGGCACATGCCCCTGACCCAACTGAACTTGGGACCCCCTAGTCCGCAGGCTGACACCATCCACCGAGCCAAACTGGTCAGGGCTGAACTTATTCTTTCTTGCAGCTGCATAGTATCTCATGGTATGGATGTGCCATAATTTATTATACCAGTCTTTTATTGCTGGTCATTTGGTTATTTCCAGTCCTTTACTATTAATAACAATGCTACATGGAATAATTTAGGACTTGCAGGTTCTTTTATAGGTTTAAGAGTATATTGACAGGGTAAGTTCCTAGTTATGGGATTGCCATGTTAACGGAATATGCATTTGAATTTAATAGATCCTGCCAAATTGTCTCCTAAAAATTTGTACTAATGTATACTCTTATTTATGGGTATTTGTTTTCCCATATTTTTGCCAATAGCATATATTTTCATCTTTTAGTGTATGTGCTGCTAAAGAGAGCACTATATTTTCAAACTTTTAGAAATTTTGCCACACTGATATATTAAAAATGGTAATTTAGTGTAGCTTTGATTTTTCTTTTATCAGTAAGATTGAGTACCTTTCATACATTTGAGCCAGTTGTATTCCCCTTTCTATTCTCTTATCTTTCACCTATTTTTCTATTGAGTCAGTAGACTTTTTTCTTACAGATTTGGAGAAGTTATTTCTATATTAAAGAGATGAATCCTTTGTAATGTGAGTTGCAAATATATATCCCAAAGCATCATTTGGCTTTGATTTAGTTTATGCTGTATTTTACTATATAAAAGCCTTTGATTTTTTGTGACTAGTTTTATTAATCGTAATCATAATAAGGAAGATCTAGGTTACAAAAATAACCCTTTCTTATATTTTCTTTCAATACTTTTATTTTTTAATATTTTACATTTAAATCTTCGGCATATTTTATCCAAGTGTGTGGTTTGAAGTATAGTGCCAACTTTTTTTTCTACATGGCTATCCAGTTTTTCCCCCCAATTTGAATTGTCATCTTTATCGTATATATTCAGCCCTGTCTGTTTTGGGAATTAATTTTGTACTCTCCATTCTCTTCCATTGGTCTTCTGCCCACTCTTATGCCAGGGCTTTATATTTTTAATTACTGAAGCTTTAAAATGTGTTTTAATATCTGATGAATCTTGTTCCCTCTCAGCTCTTCTTTTGAATGCAGCGTTTTCCTGACTAGTCTACTTTTTCCTTACGAACTTTAGAATTATTTTTTTCAGGGAACTGAACCTTTTCTTTTTTTGAGGTTGGTTTACATTTTAATAAATTAGTGTAAAGGCATCTATAGAATGGGTTCCTGTCTAAGAACATAGTATGTCTTTCCATTTGTCCTAGTCTTTATTTTTATGATTCAGAAGTGCTTTGATTTTTGTTTTGTTCACATCTATTAAGTTCTGTCTTGTTTTACCAACCAGTTACTAGAGGCCTGGTGCACAATATTCATGCACTTTGCGGGAAGTGGGGGGCCTTCAGCCTGGCCTGCGCCCTCTCGCAGTCCAGGAGCCCTTGGGGGATGTCTGACTGACAGCTTAGGGGTGGAGGGCCGCCAGTCAGACAAACTTAGCACTGCTGGGGAGACGGGAGAGTCTCCCACCGCTGTGCCCCACCAGCCATGAGCATGGCTTATGGCAGAGCAGCTCTCCCCCTGTAGGAGGTTACTGATCAGCAGAGGCAGCTCCTGCATTGAGCGTCTGCCCCCTGGTGGTCATTGCGGATCATAGCAACCGGTCAACTTGTATATTATGCTGAAATCATGCAAAGAGTATTTTTTGAGTGTCAGGTTTTTTTCTCACTGTAAATTAACATCATTCTGAGTGAGCAGTTAATGTGATTCACAGTGAGAGATGGATCTACGCTTCGCAGACCAGTAAGTCAGGTTTTCAAGCCTTTGAGGCTGAGAGCTTGGAAAATTCACCCTTGGGAATACATCTTCATCGTGTGTATTGCCCAGTGGGTGGCCTCGTGATGGATGGCCAATTGACCTCTCCTGTAACACTGCAACCGGATCTATGCCTTTATTTTGAAAATCGATAGTTCACTTAGTAAATGTCACTATTTTAAGAAAGCCTATCATGCATAGTAGCTTATACATGAATAGCAGCCTCTTCAGCTGCTACTGATGTTTCTGCAGCTGCTTATGAGTCAAAGAGCCCCATCTGAACACTAATGATGTGCTTCAGAAAATTACTATCTTTGGTCAAACCTTTAATGAACATCTTAATTCTTATATATTACAGAATTTCACAAACTTATTTGGACAGCCACTAGTCTGCTTGCTTTCTCCTACAGCATATCCAAAAGCTTTACAAGGTACGTTCTGTTGTTACCTCTTACATCCATAGGTTACAAGTAAACGCCGTCTGCATTTATAATAATACTTACCTTTGTTTTCCCACCTATAATGTGGGATTATGGTGTTTAAAGTGGCAGGTGTCAATCTGAAGTCTGCCCAGAAGTCTTGCGAAGAACCAGACATCTTTAATGTGCTACCATTAGGCCTTGCGACAGTTCTCAAAGAAATGCCAAAACGTTCCTGAGAAAAGGGTGGTTTGGGTCCCTTACTCATGGGGAACTCATGATTTATAAATTCTAAAATGTGTTCTGCAGCTGCTTGTTTGGGTGAGCTTGTCCTCTTCCATCTGGCATGATGGCCTGTATCACCAGCTACACATTTAGGCACCGTTTAGGACTGTAAGGTTTCTGGTCGAGAGGACTCCTCAGCCTCTGCCTAAGAGTTAGGGTACCCTAACCGGCACAACTCAGAGGGCTTCTTTTATTCACATTTTACCTTGTTGTATTTTTAAAATAAAAGAACCTCTTCTCAGTGTGACAGAGAGGTAGTTGAGGGTTCTGGCCGTTTCTCAGATGAAGAAGTGAAAGGCTTTCATGAATTTGTCCTCAATTGGCAGTCCAGGCAGGCTGGTTCCCGTGCCCAGTCGTTAAGCTGGTAAGATACTAAACAAACCTTGCCGCTGTTTTAGCAGTGCTGGTCACCATTTCACTGTCGCCCTGACTGTGAACAGTGCTGCTGTCCCTCTGAGGGAGACGGCACTCACTGCACTTCCCAGCCAGAAGTCTTGTCTGCTGACATAGTTTGACACAGGAAGTGATGGTCAGCATTTGAATGCCTGAGAGAAGCTGGAGACTTTTCACCGTTGTTTCAAGGTAAGTTCTGCTATTTTACAGGGAAAAACATGTAGCAATACTAAGTTCCTGGATCCAAAAGTTCAGTTACTAAGGGATAGAACTTGCCTTCAAACAACGGTAAAATTCTCCTGCTTTGAGGACTCGGTTAGCCTGTTGCTTATCATTTCTGGAGAAGTGTAACCCCTTCCAGTTATCTGAGAGTACTCTTTGCTATCATTTTGTCCTATCAAAAGGCGGCTTTAGCCTGGCTGGTGGTGTAGTTCAGTGGTTGAGCATTGACTCAGGAACCAAGAGGTCACCAGGTCAGGGCACATGCCCAGGTTGCAGGCTGAATCCCCAGTAGAGGGTGAGTACGAGGCAGCTGATCCATGATGTTTCTGTCTGTCTATCCTTCTCCTTTCCCCTCTCTCTAAAATTCAGTAATAACATGTGTGTGTGTTTTTTTTTTTAAAGAGGCAGCTTTATTTTATTTATTTATTTATTTATTTAGGAAGCTTTAGTTTAAATTGCATGGTCTAATGGTTAGTAGCAAAATTATTTGGTCTGAAGGGCTTTATTTTTTATTTTATTTTATTTTTAAAATATATTTTATTGATTTTTTACAGAGAGGAAGAGAGAGGGATAGAGAGTTAGAAACATCAATGAGAGAGAATCATAGATCAGCTGCCTCTTGCACACCCCCACTGGGGATGTGCCCGCAAACAAGGTACATACCCTTGACCGGAATTGAACCTGGGACCTTTCAGTCCGCAGGCCGACACTCTATCCACTGAGCCAAACCAGTTTCGGCTGAAGGGTTTTATTATGTATAGGGTAAAAACACAGGCTCTGGAGGCAAACTGATGGGAATTTGAATCCCAACTCAGCCGTTACTAGCTGTGTAACCTTGGGAGGTTCCTTATCCATTCTGTGCCTCAGTTTATTTCCTATCAAATGGAGATCATAATAGCATCAGCCTCATAAAATAATTCAGAGTATATAAGTAGTATTCAGTATGTGCCATCTATCATTATTACTGATACGCTTGGTTGTAATATATGTCCTTAGTATTTTTAGTCCAGTATCCTCTTTTGTGTTATAAAGCTTAGGCCTCTAATCCCTAAATATGTCCCCTCTGGACACAAAACTAGAAGATACCTAAGTATTTGGAATCTCAAATTGGGTTCCTGCACCTCTGGTATCTAAAGTCTACAGTGTTTTCTTTTTATTTATTTCCTTTATTGATTAAGGTATTACATATGTGTTCTTATCCCCCCACTACCCCCTCCCCCAACTCATGCCCTCTCCCCCCCTGGTACCTGTGTCTATTGGTTAGGCTTATGTGCATACAGTGTTTTCTCTAAGAGTTATTTCATTCGTTAAACATTTATTCAACGTTTATTTATCAGGTACAATGCTAGGCATTGGAGGTGACACTCGGACCAGACAAACACAGTCATGTTTTTCACAGAGCCAGTTTCCTGGTAGAAGATATAGACAAGCTAACAGACAGGCACTGTTGATGTTATTAGTGTCTCATAGGAGGAAACCTGTGCAACACTTAAGGAACTCCTAACCTGCCTTTGAGATGGAAGAAAGAGCAGGAATGATGTCTGAAGTGGAGTTGAAGGATGTGTATAGTTCATTGAGCACAGGAAATGGTTGAAAATTGGTATTCTAGCCGAGAAATAGCATGTGAGCCCTGAGATGAGAGAGTTTATGGGACATGTAGATAAATTAAAAGTAGTTCCTGCTAGTTAAAGGGCAGAGTTTGTGATCGTGGGACTGAATTATGAAAAAACCTCTTATGATTCAAATGGAGGAAAGTGGAGTGCCATTGAAAGATTTTAAACAGCCGAGACCGGTTTGGCTCAGTGGATAGAGCGTCGGCCTGCGGACTCAAAGGTCCCGGGTTCGATTCCGGTCAAGGGCATGTACCTTGGTTGCGGGCACATCCCCAGTAGGGGGTGTGCGGGAGGCAGCTGGTCGATGTTTCTCTCTTATCGACGTTTCTAACTCTCTATCCATCTCAATTCCTCTCTGTGTAAAATCAATAAAATATATATATATAAAAAAAGAAAGATTTTAAACAGCAGTAACATTAAAAAACATTCAGTTTACCTTATGTAGGGTGAATTGGACAGGAGCATTGGTGGAAATAAAGAGATCGTGGTGGCTGAACTAGGACAGTGACTGGTTTCCTGGTTTCTAAAGGTGTTAGCCCAGAGACCCAACAGGACTTGGGGATGGAGCAGAAGGAAGCAAAATGGACTTCCAGGTTTCTGGCTGAGGTGCTGGCAGAAATAAAGATACTAAATAACAAGTAGATTTATAAGAGAACCAAAAGGGAAAAAATTGTTGTCCATTTTGGACATGCTGAGTTTAAAGTTACCTTTGAGAGTTAGGTTGATTACAGAGGTCTAGAGCAATTCTGTCAATAGAAATATTATGGAGTCACCTATGTAATTTTAAGATTTCCAGTAGCCACATTTAAAAAAAAAACAAAAAAAACTGGTGAAATGAATGTTAGTAGTGTCTTTTTGTACAGATGCTTTGAAATCCTATGTATATTTTACACTGTAGTGTGTCTGATTGGACCAGTCACACTTTAAGGTTGTTTTTTTTTTTTTTTTAAGTGTCCAGCAGCTACTGCAAGGCAGCACAATTCTAGAACTAAGGAGCTCAATCTAGGCTGCAAATGGAGAACTGGAAACCAGTAGGCATATAAGTGATAACCAAGATTATAAGAGATCAGTAATGTATCAGGACAAAGAAAAAAAAAGATTGATATTTAAAGGATAGGTGGAGAAAGAACAACTCACCGGAGTGAAAAAGACTGGCAATCCTAGAACTCATCAGATAATTCTGTCAGGAACTGCCTGTGATCCATAACTTGCCATATTTTAGTAAAATTTGTTAGTTGGGGTTGGGGGGGAGGCAAAGAAATATGTTCATGTCGTATTTCTCTTTAGTTTACTAGGCTTTAAAGTTAGTTCTGCAGAAAGCAATATGCCTGGGTCATGTTTTGTAGTTTCTTGCCGAGCCTACGTTGTTGAATTAAGACTTAATGATACAGCTTTAATTGTATACATTGTCAGTATATTGAAATGTTCCTCAAATACATCTCTTACCTTTTGCAAAACTGTTTTCTATATAAATATGTAAAACGTGTTTGTTATTACAGATCAATCTCAGCGAGGTAGCCTCTTCACGCTCTTTTTGAACAATCCTCTAATGGCCTTCCTATTTGTCTCTGGATTGTCAAGCATGCGCAGAGGCCTGTGGGAAAAGTGTCAAGAATATCTTCGAAAAATCAACCGCGATATTGCCCAGCTACTGACCCATTCACGTTCAATAGGTACCCTACTAACCTAATTGCACACAAAACAGAATGTACTGTAATGGTTTAAAATTCTTTGAATAGTTTGAATTTTCAGAAGTATTGGTTGAAGGCGGGAAAGTTGAGAAGGTTTTCCTGAACTTTCCTTCCCCTTGGAAACCTATTTTCCCTTTAAGCATCTTTTTACTATCCCATTCTCCTCTTTGCAGATCAGGCATTCCTCCAGTTTTTTGGAGATGAATTTCTTCGCTTGCTTCTCACAAGATTTGTCTTTTGTTCAGCCACCATGAGGATGCACAAGATTTTTCGGGTAAGCAAAGAATATTTTAATGACCAACCCTACCATTTTAGGTATTTAACCATCGTGTATTATATTTTACCTGTATTAAATAAAGTTTGGATAGATCTAAAATCATTTCACAAATTAATATGTAAAGTACTAAAAGTGGACAAAATAAGCAACACCTGAGTACCTACCACCCAATTTAAGAAGTAAAATATTTTCTTTACTTTTGAGGTCCCCTGTAAGTTCTCTCTAATCCTATTTTCCTCTCAAATGTAAGTAAAATCCTCACTTTTTAAATTATCATTCACTTCCCTTTAAAGTTTTGCCACATGTATTTGTATTCCTACACAACATGTAGGAATTGATAGATCTAAGTTTTAGGTATTCTACAATTTGCTTTTTTTCACTCTTTATTATAGTCCTGAGATTCAGGCATGGTGATGACTGACTATATAGCTTTTATTCATTTGTTTTCACTGCTATATAGGTTTGGAGTAAATTACTCATCTTACTAATATTTTACTGATAATGGACATTTGGGTTATTCCCAGTTTATAACTATAATAAACAATGCCATTGTGAAATCTTCTATAATTTTCCTGGTAAACATATATAAGACTTTTTTTGAGGAATACCTAATAGTGGAAGGTGAGAACAGACGATTTCGGTGTATTCAACTTTAGTAGATAGTGCCAACCATGTTGTAAAGTGGTTGTATCAATAATATACACGGTACTAGCAGTGTGTAAGAGATGAAATTGCTCTAGTCCTTGCCAACATTTGTTGCAGTCATATTTTATAGTCTGTGTGAATCAGGTGGGTGTAAAGTAGTAGCTCATTGTGGTTTTAATTCACAATTCTGGAATTACTGTTGAGGCTCAGCAACTTTTCATGTGTTATTCTGTGTTCTTCTTTGTGATGAAGAGTGTTCGAGTCTTTTGTCTGCTTGGTTCTAAGTAGTTTGTTTTTTTCTGTGTATTCAGGTAACTAACTACAAGGCACTGTTTTTTGAGGTTTTTAAATTTTTAGCTATTATACTTTTCATTTCTCTCATACTTATGTTTTCATTGTGCTCTTGAATATATATGTAATAGGTAAAGTACTTATCTGCTAACACTATGTTCTCTATCATTTATAGTTTTATTTTTATTGTTTTTTTCTACTGGTTATGGGTCTCATATTCTAATTTGTATGCCTAGTAATTTCCCTAAACTGTAGGCACTGTGAATTTTATGATGTTAAATTCTGGATTTTGTTGTCTTTCTATAAAGAGTGTTAGAAAGAAAAAAAAAAGTGTTAGACTTAGTTCTGGCAGGAATGAACTTACTTGCAAATTTGACCTTTTCATAGCTTTTTTAAAAAACTTATTAGGGTGGATTTAGAGTAGTGTTAGCATATAGTGAGAAACTTATTTCAGTCTAACACTAAGAAGTGTGATTCTTTTGGCGTCTCTTTCATATGTTCCGTTTCAACAAATACTCTCTGCTCCGGGGAATGATTGCTCAGAATTCAAACATCTCCCAACCCTGTGCGACCTGAGAGAATTGTTCAGTTTACGGTAGTCCCCCAAGCAGTTCTTGGGGTTTTGTTATTGTTTTTAGGATTTTTGAACATTTTATCGTTAACACTCACAATAATTAGTATAGTAAAACAAAATTTGGTCTTTGTAATGTGTAACGCGTGAAGCTTGTAGGAATAAGAGAAATATAAATGACATTTGAATATAGGACATGTCTTGTGAGATACGTAGAAAAGTAGCAACCAATTCAGAAAATTTTAAATGTGTGGTAAAATTATGGTCTATAGAAATTACCAAATGAAGACAAAATTCCAAGTGAGAATTACCTGATTCTTGACATTGTCATCTTCTTTTGCTTTCATGTAATTACAGAATTATTTTTCTTTCTTTTTTAAAAATTATTTTCTGTTCTTTTTTTTCTTCTTTTTAACTTCCACCTCCCTTTTTAGGAACTCTTTCTTTACTCTTTGTTAATATTCTTAGAAATCTCATGTATTTTTATGGCTGCAATATTTCTTTCCTTGCAGATTATATCAGTGTTTACATATACTGCTCAAACTTATCTTCTAAGATACAGCCCTAAATTTTCAAATTCTGGTTGGGAAGCAGTTCTATTTTCACTACCCTGTTACCACAAATAAAATATACTTTGCCCTAACTGGTTTGGCTCAGTGGATAGAGTGTTGGCCTGAGGACTGAAAGGTTTGATTCCGGACAAGGGTATTTACCTTGAATGTGGACATATCCCTAGTAGGAGGTGTGCGGGAGGCAGCTGTTTTTCTCTCATAGATGTTTCTGTCTCTCTATCCTTCTCCCTTCCTCTCTGTAAAAAAAATCAATAAAATATATTTTTAAAAATAAAATATACCTAAAACCTGAAGCTTTCTACTATCCCCGGATCATCTTCTTTTTCACTTCTCTTTCTCTCAATTGTTCCCAACCCTCCTCTCAAGTCCTGAAATCTTAGCCATTTTGACACCACCCACTCCTGTAGTTAATTTCAAAGGCCCATTAATTTGACCTTCTCATTGCTTCTTGTGGTTTTTCTTTCATTTTAATTTCTGCTACAAATCTTCTTATTCATTTACTTAAGAAATACTTGTTGAAATATGCTAGAATTTCTCCCCTACCAAGTGGTAATTTTTGGTTTCCACAGTGTCCAGAAATGATCGGCCCCAGTAAATATTTGGGAACTAACACACAAAATTAATAGATTAAGTTGAACCATATGAAGTTACCATTTTTTTATTTCATTGATTTTTCACAGAGAGGAAGGGAGAGGGATAGAGAGCTAGAAATATCGATAAGAGAGATACATCGACCAGCTGCCTCCTGCACACCCGCCACGGAGGATGTGCCCGCAACCAATGTACATGCCCTTGACTGGAATCAAACCTGGGACCTTTCAGTCCACAGACCAACACTCTATCCACTGAGCCAAATTGGTTTTGGCAGAAGTTATCATTTTTTTAAGATCAAAGTGGTCACATGCCAGCAATTTTATATGTTCAAAACATGTTACCACTAAGAATCATACCAATATGGAAGAAAAATACAGATTGCTACTCCTTAATATTGTTAATGCTAACAATAATGTTAATGTTTCTAATTTTCTTTCATTAAACTATAAAACTTGACTTTTCTCTGCCTGTCAGGAAACACGGAATTACCCAGAATCCTATCCACAACTGCCAAGGGATGAAACAGTGGAGAACCCTCATCTCCAGAAGCACATTTTGGAATTGGCATCCATTCTGGATGTTCGAAACGTGTTCTTTGAAAATACCTTGGATGACTATTAAAACAAAAACTCTCTTGTCGAAACACTTTCATTTGCCACAGATTTTAAATGGTGCCGTTTTCTAATGTGATGACAGACACATAGTGGTGTTACTTCGTTTTTATTTTTTAATTTAGAACCACCATTTTAAAAACAAACCTAAAACTTTATTCAAACGTTTAGGGTGACTGTTTTAAAATACAATCTTTCAGATCTTTTAAAAACTCGCCTAATTTTGGGATTTTTATTTTTTATCTTTTTGGTTTTGAGGTATGGATACTTGCCTCCAGCATCTCATCCTACACTCAAATATTCACTGTTCTCACTCTTCAAAGAGTAAATTATTTATTTTTGTATAATGAGGAAAATCCAACTCTTAAACTTGGACCTTATAGTGTAATTGTTCACAGAGATGAAATTACCAGCATGGACTACTAAAAATCTAGAACAGAGTCCTGCCATAATATTTCTTTTCATTCCAAGTTAGGAAGTAGAAAATGGGTGACGAGTATAGTCGAGACAGTTCTTGAAATCATTTAAATTGCTTAAATATTGTCAGAATTTCAAAAACTATATAAGATTGATTTGCGCCTGAAAGCTAAAGCTTTAACTGGGATCTTAAGAATGATAAAAATGTCATTTGGAATGTGTGAATCCTGTCTTATGAGATATGTCTGCATATTTTGTTTTCTTTGTTAGACTTCGAGTAGTAGAAATGAAAAAGAACAACTTTTAAATATTTCACTTAAAAATCAGATTGTCAGCTTTTTAATACAGTATTTCCAGTAGGAATTCTATTTAAATTCTTCATTCATAAGGTCAGATTTAAAGACTGTCTAGATTGAAGTCCATGGCGTACGGTACAGTTTGTAATCTTTCTGCAGAGTTAAAGTCTGTGAGACTTCAGAGTCAGAGATGGTATTAATTTTAGTTGGGGGCAACCAAATTGCTATGTAACCTAAGATGAAAATTGTTTTGCATTGACAATTTGGCAATAAGATGTTTTTTAAAACTTCTTGTACTTAATATTTTATATTCACACACAAGTTTTTATCATTTTAAATAGGACTCAGTGTATAATATAAATATTTTTGTGTTCTTCTTATCATCCCTTTCATAATTTCACAGGTACTGGCTATGATATTTGTCTCCCTCCCCCTTTTCTTTGAAGCCACTCAGAAAGTTATGCATCAGAAGTCCTACTTAATTTTCTGTTACAGGCTCACATTCTACCTCTGGTAGGCAGTCCCAGGGGGAAATGAGATGATTGCATTTGGTGCCTCTTTCTTATGTCCCTCGGGAAATTTTATTGTTATATTTTACCTTAGTTTTCATAGAGAATTACTTGGGTCTGAGCTATTCATATACTTGTTCTAATTTGCTGATACTGTATCTGATGTCTTGAAGTTATTGTTCTTGGTTTTGGGGGACTTTGTTGTGTTTTATTAATGAAATTTTTTTTATTGATTTCAGAGAGGAAGGAAGAGAGAGAGAGAAACATGAATGATGAAGAACAATCATTGATTGGCTGCCTCCTGGATGCCCCTCACAGGGGATTCAGCCCACAACCCAGACATATGCCCTGACTGGGAATCAAACTATAGCCTCTTGGTCATAGGTTGACGCTCAACCACCGAGCCGCACCTGTTTCATTAATTTTTAAATTATTTTTGTTTGTTCTTTTAAACGTATTTCAGAAAGCTTTGGATAGAGATTACCTTTGCTAGTGGGTTGTTTTCCATTATCAGATAGAGACCACTTTCCCCGCTTTCCTGTCACTGAGGTTTCACCTAGACTCCAGCAATAGACTGGCCTAGTTGTCTGACCTCTTGTTTCAATTCTCCCAAAGTTCTGTGCCAGTAACGTTTCTAACACAGGATTGCTTAAAATGATATTGTACATCCTGAGCTTTATCCTCACCTGTTTAGCATAAAGAACACTGGTCTGAAAACTAGGAGTCCTGAGTTCTAATCCCGCTCCCCTGATAACTAGCTGTATGTCCTTAGCAGGTGTCTATATGTCTCTACCTTTTAGCATTCTAACCTGTAAAATGAAAGCATTAGCACTAGATCCTGTCCAACTCAATGATTCTATAATTTGAATTCTTGGTTCCAAAAGATATTGATTTCTCCACCCCCATCACCTGGAAAACGAGTTTTCCTGATTTTAGTGTATACAACATTTTCTTTTCAAGATCATATTTAACTAGTTTTTATTCAAGAAAATATCAGGGTCTCACTTAGTTGTTGTAGAAACTAGTTCAGAGAGAGAATCTGAAATATTAGAGCTTCTGTGATTAAAAATCACAACTAGGGTTTAAATGATGTCATTGGCTTTTTAAGCTAATAGTAGTGTAATTCCTCACTGGTAGTTAAAATTTTAAAGCGAACCAAAGTGATCTTGGGAGGAAAACTGCTAGGAAAGGCTAAGCTCCTGTTTCATTCAGGCCTTCAAAAATCACGTGTATTGAACAACTGTGCTACAGAGTTTGTTGCAAGCACTGGAGAAGCAAACAGAGTAGACGTAAAAATTCTGGTCCTCATGAAGCTTCATCCTAGTAGGAGGAGCCAGGCAATACATACGATGACTAAGTAAATTTATATTAGGAAGTTATAAGTAGTGTGAAGAAAATTCTGGGCCTGGTAAGGATTTTTTCCATTTGTTTTGTGGCAAAGAGCAATGTAGAAATGAGTGATCAGGGTAGGCCTTACTGAGATTACATTTGTGCAAACAATCCATATTTATCTTTTCTCTCTGTGTGTGTATCGTTTTACTTTTTATTGTGAAAGTTTTACACATAAACAGAATTTAATGAACCCTCTTGTACCCACTACCTAGCTTCTATATTTAAAAATATATATTTCTATTGATTTTACAGAGGAAGGGAGAGAGAGAGAGAGAGAGAGAGAGAGAGAGAGAGAGAGAGAGAGATCAATGATGAGAGAAAATCATTGATCGGCTGCTCATAGGTCGATGCTCAGCCACTGAGCCATGCTGGCAGGGTCAGCGTCTACATTTTAAGGTGTTCCTTTAATTAAGGAAGAAGAAACGTAAAAGGACAATCACGCCAGTGGGCTCTAGAAGGCAATGGCAAAGAAACTCATTTTTTTTCAGTGCAAACTGCCCCCCTTTTATAAATATAAAAAGAGCAAGCTTATTATTTATTTATTTTTAGAATTCACAGAAACTTAAATATTGGAACTAAGAACAAAGCAAAGCAATAGGAAAGGGTACTCCTTTGTTTTCCAATTGCACAAACTCCCCCTGGAGATTCTGATAGTCTCTCACCTCTCTTAAGAATCACAGTAAACAAAATAGAAAGTGTAAGACTGCAAAAAGTCAGTTAGACACAAAACAAAAGTAAGCACAATGGAATTATTTTCTCTTTCTTTTCCTATATATTTCTGAAGTCGGTAGAGCACTTATCTTCCCTATTTTATAGGAGAGAAATCTAAGATACTCCCCCCCCAAAAAAAATTGTTTATTCACAGGGCTAGTGTTAGAACTCAGATCTCCTACTCTCAGCCCAGTCATTCCTAGTAGCTCAGGTTTTCTATAATGAACAAGAAAGAAATAAGAGATTTATATTTTGGCACAAAGATTATGGTATTTTTAATATCAAATATTAAAACCAGTAAATGAGTCAGCCCTAGCAAATTTTTATTTATTATTATAACTTATAGTCCATACATTAGACATTTTGTCTTTTATTTTAGCCAGTGTGTGTGTGTATATGTGTGTGTGTGTGTGTGTGTGTGTGTGTGTGTGTGTGTGTGTATATATATATATATATATATATATATATATATATATATATATGGTGTGTCCCTGTGTGTCTGTGTTTTCTTCTTAGGAAGTGGTGCTCTCAAAACCTCTCAAAGCACATAGAATTTATTGTACTCTTTATATTTTTACCGAGTTGAAATGTTTTGAGATTATAAAAGCAAAGTGCAATCTAGTTATGACTGAAATTTTTTTTTTAAAATCTAGGATCTGGGTTTTATTTTTCTTCACTGGTGGCTTCTGCCTTTTGTTTTTTGTTTTTGTAATAGAATTTCCTGAAAGTGATTAAGTGTATTAGATGGTGATTGAACTGAATTTCGTTGAGGAAAAGGGAAAATCAACAAATACGCTTTTTTGTATATCTGTTATGGATCTTTCTGTAGCATTCTTCTTTGAGTTTAATCTCTGATCTTTGTGACTTAGCAACTTTCTGTCTCTTAGAAGGGCTTTGGACTCAGTTGAAAAACCTTGTACTTAGTTATCCACGGAGACTCGTAATCAGCCTGATACACAGAGAACATTCCTGACTGGAAATATAGTAAGGTCTGCAGGTCTGCAAACTTGGCTACTGCCAGTGATTCAGAACCACTCCCCACCCTAAGTGAGTAAAAGATTTGATGTGAATATCAATGGTCTGAGTCTCCTGGTGATATTTTGGGTATATTCTAGAATATGTTCCTGTGTGTGTGTTTGGAGAGTGTAAAGTGTATTTACATTGAGAGCTCTTTTGTTGACTTTATTTATTTGAAATTCTTATTTGTAATGGCATGTGTATATTTTTATGATGCTACATGCAATCTCTGTATGCTTTTTGTATATATGTACATATTTGTAAATATATTGGTATGCAGTGATATAGTATGTGTATATTATATACCCATATCCATTGTGGGCTGAATTTATTTAAGTTCTGTGAGGACACCATAGTGGCATTGTTCATGCCGCTATCATTAGGTTGTGGCTGTATCTCATTCATGAGCCTCTATTTTGAGGGGCTTTTGGATAAAAAGGGTCAATTTGGAGTTGAAATTAGGATACGAAGATCTTTCACAGAAAGCTGGATATGCTTAGCTTTAAAATCATCTGCCAATTTTCATTTAAACTGATGATAAATTAGTGACATAAACCTGAGAAACCTAAGTATGTGAAACTGAGACATCTTCAGGCTCTTAAGCTATATTAGTCCTTTATTTTCTTAATCCATAGTTGAGTATTACTGAGTGGTAAAATATTTATACT